CATAGGATTTTGTTCGTGGGTGCTATGCCATGAAGTCACCAACCCAAGTTGCCACTCTCTAGAGAGTGGCAAATATTGATCGCTGTGTCATATAGGGCTCTTGCAATCTCTCAGATTTGTTTTTCAAAATTATTAAAACTCTTTTGAGTAAAAAACTCGTAAAGAGATTAATTTCTCAGGTTGAAAACAATAAAAAAGGAATTCTTTGAATTTAAAAATACTATTTACTTCAGAAGACACTTCCATTGGCATGTCACATTTTTATGCTCAGTGATGTTTGTGTTTGTTCTTGTCTGTTGTTTGTGGCGTTTAGAATCATTTTGTTTTGCGTGTTGTAGAGTGTTGAATAGACTTTAAGCAACAAGAAGGGCTATTTTTTAGTGGAAGTTTAGGAATTATTATCTATCACTTTGTTATCTTAGGTTCTTAATCGATTTTTACCATTCTTCAAATCAGGTGTTGAGCCTTCACTTCCGCATTTGGCTGTTGGTGCCTTGATAAAAATCGATCAATAATCACATATAAAGCCCTAGACCAGGGATTCTTAATTATTTTAAATGCCGGGCCAGAAAAACATATAGAATTTCTTCGGGGGCCAGTTGGTTTTCAACTTTTACATACCTTGTGTAGGCTGCTCAAAATGAAACTCAGATCTCATTTTTACCAGGCTAAGTTAGTGATAAAATAGACAGGCCTTTTATTCGTGCCTGCCTATCTTATCTACCTTCGCATAAAGCCAAAAAATAGTTTTCACAAAGGTCTGTAACTTTATGTTTCTTGTACCAGGCTGAGTCAGGAAATCGTTCTATGCTATTTTTAGGCTAGAACGTTCATCGTCGTTAGTCTCTTGTTGGGTCGATTTGAAGTGCCTGAAGTCAGGTCAAGGGACTGCACAGCTTATTTTAAAGAAAGGCCAAAATCTTATGTTTGTGGATGTATTTAGTCAAGGCCACCTCCATGGTTGGCGGCAAGAAAAATTTTAGGCTATATAAATCTAGGAATGGCCAGAAACAACACCTCAAATAGATTTTAACGGGAGAAAATTCAAGGCATATTCTTGACTAGGTTCCATAGTTTTATCTGTTGATATGAAAAAGGAAACAAGACATTTCCTATTTTGTTATTCCCTTTTGGACTAATAACTGTCCATGGAACGCATTTAAAAATTATTAAAAGAAAAAAGTATATCAGATGAGACAAAGATAAAATGCATTTGGTGGGCAGGATGACATTTTGCTGTGGGCCGGAGATGACCCGCAGGCCGGGGTTTAAGAATGCCTGCCCTAGACCTTAGATATAACTTGATTGATTCAAGTAACAAGGCAGCTTATCCCCACCAGGGAGCTGATGCACCATCCTACCTTAGTTGCATAAAGTATGAGAGGGGAAGAGAAACAAAACTTAAAGAGCCAAGACTACCCTTTAATGAAATCATAATAATCTGTTAATCGAATCCTGTTATGTGAATAAGCCCAAACCCCTATGAGGTACAACTTCACCATTATTCCCAAAGGCATCAAAACAGCAAATTAAGGCTTAATAGCATAACTTTACACCTAAATTTGATTAATAAAATTGAAAGAAAATAAGAACCCTTAATGATTTCAAATTCTATAACATCAAAAGAGCTCTGATAGAATTTCATTTGACCAGCATTTAATCTGCTCTGAAGGATTGCAGCTCAATGTAAGATGATTTCAAAAGTCATTATCTAATTTTTCTTTTTTAAGAAAAAAACACAACAATTTCTAATTATACTTTAGTAAATGAAAATTTTATTTGTATATAAATGTAAAAGTAAAAGTGAATCAGCCTTTAAATGTAAAGGTCAATAACCATTACAAGAAATTATTGAGCAAATACTCCAAGACCCCAACAGAATGGTTAAAAGTTTTGATATAAGATTTTTAAACACAGCATTGAAACTAATAAAAATCAATGCCAGTTTGTGAAAGACTAAAATTTCGATGATCTACATGATATATAAATTCATGTCTAAATTTGTCAACAAATAAGACTTTTTCCAGTGTATCATATGTTGTTTCCACCAAAGTTGAATATAATTTTCTTTAAATAAATGCTGTCTTGATGATAGAAACAGCCCTCCTTGCACTCCTGCAAGAAATCAGATGCTTTGCAATTCATGCTTACCATTCCTCACTGTCTTCAAAAAGATTTTGCAATAATATCACTTTTAATTTTATATATTCTTTCAAATCTTGCTTAATTAATGCTCTGAATTTAGTCACTGTTCCTAAAAGAATGTTAATTTTCTGTTTGGAAAACCTCCTTTTCTTTTGTGCCAGAAAGATTTCATAAATTCATCTTTTAAATTAATGTATTTTGCCAAAATGTTCTGTAATTTTCCTTTGTATACTTAGCCTTGAGAAGATTTTGCTCTTTAAAGCATAGCAAAGATTGAAACCAGATTATCTGTGATTAAATTGATCTTTTAATATCAGAGCCTATGTCAGTAGTGATTTGTAAGAGCATAATGGTCCAAGGAATTTTTCCAGCCGAAATGAGAATAATGACTTTATATTCACTCTTGTTGTAGTTATGTTTTTGTACAATTCAGAGGGCTTGGTCCTAAATTTTTTTTAAGGGCAAGCCCCTGAATCCCCTCCCTTCATCAATCCCTTGCTGCCCATTGTTTTTGATTTTTTGCTTCATTCATCATTCAAATGTTCCTCTGAATCAATTTTCATTAAATAGTTATAATTTTTGGCAGGATAAAAGTCCCTGACATCCCCAAACGAAACCACAAAGTTACCCACTTTCTTCTACTGTTATATAATTTTAAATCAAGAGTAGACAGTCTTGAATTCCTCACAAACATTTTCCTTTTTTATAGATATTTAGGCCGAGATTGCCATTAATTTAATTTCAATAATAAAATTTCTTTTCCCATAATATAATGTTATTAATATTTATGCATTAGCCCACAGAATGAATGCATTACACAGTCCTTTTCGTGAGCAAAATTACGCGTGTGTGGCAAATCGCACATGTAAACAAATTTGCGCGTGCGATCGCACTTGTAAGAAAATTTGAAGTACAAACCTGATAAAATTGGTAAAAGGAGCAAGAAGGAAAAAGCCACTCGAGAGCCATACGTGCAAGAGCAAAACTCAATTAATCAATACATAACAGATTTTGTTGCCCTTAGCAGCCATCTTTTAAAAGTCGTCGTAACTCTCCAAAGTTACAAGAGCAAGTAAAAATTGTTTCCAGCAGCTACTTGCTTTCAGGGCCTAATTACGTTTTGACAGGAAATCAGTTATTACACTTAACATGCTAATGGCGACTTAGCTGAAAGACGAGACGCTAAGTTGAATGGAGCACTCAGTCAAAAGCCAAACATCACTTCCGAAAATTGGAAAAATCATATTATGGTCAAAAGTGCGAATCAAGTAACAAGGGAAAGGATAAACAATCATGAGACCATGGGAAATTGATGTTAAAGGGCCTCTCCAGCAAAAAAATTTTTTTTTAATGACTTAAAAGTTAGCATCTGGTGCGTGTATTATGACAAAGTCATTGTTTTTGAAAAATTCCAATTAGTTTTGAAGTTGTAAGGCTTTAAAGTTGCACCTTTCCGAGAAAAAAAACGACAAAAGCCGAATCAGTTTGGTGACATTCTGACGTCACAATGTGCGGCTCTCGTTCGCCATGAATTTCGTATATCTTCCACCGAAGCGTGAAGGACTCATGGTCACGCGTTGATAACTGCATCCAGTTCCAGTTCCAGCTCTTCCCTCGCGTATAATTAATCGAAATTGTCACTTCAGTTGTTCTCCAGAAACGATGAACAACTAAAGGCTTCAGAATTGGTGTCTGAAATGCTCAAACTAAAAGCTGGCGGAACAGAACTGAAAGTACCATCACTTGCAGTGTTCAATTTGCGAATCGCCGTCGTTCGATTCGGTTTGAGGCGAGACTATCCGAAATACACTGTGACGTCAAAATTGTGTCACAGTGTCACCAAACCAAAAATTTTTGTCGGTTAATTCAATTAAATTATCGAAATGCAAGAGCTTATATCTCACAAACTGTAAAAAATATCGAAAAACAAATAACGAATTCGTGATCAGCAGGCTCAACTTCTTTATAAAAATTGCCAATAAAATGCAAGTGCAAAATTTGGCTCGAGAGGCCCTTTAACAGAAAACTGCAAAAACACCTGTTTGCGCGTGTGGTCAAAAGCACGCGCAATTTAACTTGCGCGTGTGCAGGCGTGTGCGGGTGCGATCGCACGCGCTAAACGAAAAGGACTGATTACAAAACTTTCCTTCCGTCTGCAGATAATGTAGCAACTAATTCTTTACATCATTTTTGGGTGTAGCCTTTAATAAAGGGCGTGTCTGTGTGACTTTCTTTTTTTGGCTCCCTCACTTCTGATCTGCTTCATACGTAGCTTGATGTAGGACACAGCTGCATAATGTTTGTGGATTTTAAGGCTATGACTAAAATATTGAAAGTTTAGGAAGAATTTAGGACAATATCCTCACTTGTTTAATTTATCCAAATTCTTGCAAACTAAGCCTGCAATGTGATGCCAATCAAAGTCTAATGTAAATCATTATATATTACTTTTAACTACTGTGACATTACCTTCACTGATGCTACTTTTGAAGATATCCACTTAGCAACGATACTACCCTTCATTAGGAAAACCAATGTTAATTTTTTGGCAATTCAGTTTTGAAAACAAAATTTTGTTGCTTTTTAGAACGTTGAAAAAATGTTAACAATCAAAAAGCCATCTATGACTTCGGTACTTTGATTGAAACGACTTTTTAATTTCAGACTTTCTCGATAACGTTCTCCAGATCTCTTTTAATCATAAACAGTTTGTTTGGTTTCTTCGGTTTTTTAGCTCTTGCTTTTAGCTCTGGACTCTGTTCTTTTGGACAAAATTCCAGAAACTTTCATTTTCTTAAACTTTATTGAAATATTTTTTCAACTACTTACAATGTTATTTTTTCTTTAAATCCTAGGGCTGACAAATTCCTCTTCAAAGTTCATCAATATAGCCAGTTGATGCTTTGAACACCTAGAAATTGGATATGAATGGGATCTGGACTAAAACCTTCATAAGAACTTGTATGACTTTTGCAGGTATGTCGGTTCCCTTTCCTTCAAATTCCAAACTTACAAACTTAAATTGCATGGATCCTTGTGCTTTTATTCTGAAGTGCAGACCTTTAATTCTGAAGTGTCAACCTTATACTTTCTAAGGAACATTTTTTTTTCAAATTACCATTATATTTCAAAATGTATTTTTTCCTTGAGAATTAAATTCTATTCATGACTTACTATACGTTACTTTTGATGAAAAGTTTCTTACTGTTGTTAGCTTTGTAAAAATAATTCTCTAAAAACCTTCTATATTTTTGTTTCCTTCCGCATGAATTTCTCTTTCTAACTTACTGCTGGTAGCTCTTTTGAAAAGCTTCTCTAAAAACCACTTTTATTTTTATTTCCTTGCGTATTAACTTTCGTTTATCACTTACTATAACTTACTCTGCTTTTGAGTTTCTCAAAAAGCCAACATGTCAATTTTTATTGCCAAGTTGCTGTAGGGAGCTTTCCGTTAGAGTTTCTCTAAAATCCTTCGTTCTCTTTATTTTACTGCCTGCCAATTTTTCATGCTACGTGCCTGTACGGAGTTTTGCTTTAGAGTTTCTCTAAAATCCTTCGTTCTCTTTTTTTACTGTATGTCAATTTTTATTGCTATTTTCCTGTAGGGAGCTTTGCTTTAGAATTCCCCTAAGACCCTTCGTGCTCTTTATTTTACTGCCTGCCAATTTTTCATGCTTCGTTGCTGTAGGGAGTTTTGCTTTAGAGTTTCTCTAAAATCCTTCTTTCTCTTTATTTTACTGCCTGCCAATTTTTGATGCTTCGTTGCTGTAGGGAGCTTTGCTTTAGAGTTTCTCTAAAATCCTTCTTTCTCTTTATTTTACTGCCTGCCAATTTTTCATGCTTCGTTGCTGTAGGGAGTTTTGCTTTAGAGTTTCTCTAAAATCCTTCTTTCTCTTTATTTTACTGCCTGTTCATTCTTATTGCTACGTTCCTGTAGGGAGCTTTGCTTTAGAGTTTCTCTAAAATCCTTCGTTCTCTTTATTTTACTGTATGTCAATTTTTATTGATATGTTCCTATAAGGAGCTTTCCTTTAGAGTTTCTCTAAAATCCTTCGTTCTCTTTATTCTACTGCCTGACAATTTTTATTGCTATGTTCCTATAGGGAGCTTTGCTTTAAAGTTTCCCTAAGATCCTTCGTTGTTTTTACTTTAAGCCTGTAAATTATTATTGCTACGTTGCTGTAGGAAGCTTTCTTTTAGAGGTTCTCTAAAATCCTTCGTTGTTCTTTTATTGCCTGTCAATTTTATTGCTACGTTCCTGTAGGGAGCTTTACGTTAGAGTTTCTCAAAAATCCTTCGTTCTTTTTATTTTACTGCCTGTCAATTTTTCTTGCTACGTTGCTGTAGGAAGCTTTGCTTTAGAGTTTCTCTAAAATCCCTCTTTCTTTTCATTTTACTGCCTGTCAATTCTTATTGCTACGTTCCTGTAGGGAGCTTTGCTTTAGAGTTTCTCTAAAATCCTTCGTTCTCTTTATTTTACTGTATGTCAATTTTTATTGATATGTTCCTATAAGGAGCTTTCCTTTAGAGGTTCTCTAAAATCCTTCGTTCTCTTTATTTTACTGCCTGCCAATTTTTCATTCTACATTCCTGTACGGAGTTTTGCTTTAAAGTTTCTCTAAAATCTTTCGTTTTCTTTTTTTAACTGTCTGTCAATTTTTATTGCTACGTTGCTGTAGGGAGCTTTGCTTTAGAATTTCCCTAAGACCCTTCGTTCTCTTTATTTTACTGCCTGCCATATTTTCATGCTACGTTGCTGTAGGGAGCTTTGCTTTAGAGTTTCTCTAAAATCTTTCGTTCTCTTTTTTTACTGTATGTCAATTTTTATTGCTATGTTCCTATAGGGTGCGTTGCTTTAGAGTTTCTCTAAAATCCTTCGTTCTCTTTATTTTACTGCCTGACAATTTTTATTGATATGTTCCTATAAGGAGCTTTCCTTTAGAGGTTCTCTAAAATCCTTCGTTCTCTTTATTTTACTGCCTGCCAATTTTTCATTCTACATTCCTGTACGGAGCTTTGCTTTAAAGTTTCTCTAAAATATTTCGTTTTCTTTTTTTAACTGTATGTCAATTTTTATTGATATGTTCCTATAAGGAGCTTTCCTTTAGAGTTTCTCTAAAATCCTTTGTTGTTCTTTTATTGCCTGTCAATTTTATTGCTAGGTTCCTGTAGGGAGCTTTACGTTAGAGTTTCTCAAAAATCCTTCGTTCTTTTTATTTTACTGCCTGACAATTTTTATTGATATGTTCCTATAAGGAGCTTTGCTTTAGAGTTTCTCTAAAATCCTTCGTTCTCTTTATTTTACTGCCTGACACTTTTTATTGATATGTTCCTATAAGGAGCTTTGCTTTAGAGTTTCTCTAAAATCCTTCGTTCTCTTTATTTTACTGCCTGCCATATTTTCATGCTACGTTGCTGTAGGGAGCTTTGCTTTAGAGTTTCTCTAAAATATTTCGTTCTCTTTTTTTACTGTATGTCAATTTTTATTGCTATGTTCCTATAGGGAGCGTTGCTTTAGAGTTTCTCTAAAATCCTTCGTTCTCTTTATTTTACTGCCTGACAATTTTTATTGATATGTTCCTATAAGGAGCTTTCCTTTAGAGGTTCTCTAAAATCCTTCGTTCTCTTTATTTTACTGCCTGCCAATTTTTCATTCTACATTCCTGTACGGAGCTTTGCTTTAAAGTTTCTCTAAAATCTTTCGTTTTCTTTTTTTAACTGTATGTCAATTTTTATTGATATGTTCCTATAAGGAGCTTTCCTTTAGAGTTTCTCTAAAATCCTTCGTTGTTCTTTTATTGCCTGTCAATTTTATTGCTAGGTTCCTGTAGGGAGCTTTACGTTAGAGTTTCTCAAAAATCCTTCGTTCTTTTTATTTTACTGCCTGTCAATTTTTATTGATATGTTCCTATAAGGAGCTTTCCTTTAGAGTTTCTCTAAAATCCTTCGTTCTCTTTATTTTACTGCCTGATAATTTTTATTGCTATGTTCCTATAGGGAGCTTTGCTTTAAAGTTTCCCTAAGATCCTTCGTTGTTTTTACTTTAAGCCTGTAAATTATTATTGCTACGTTGCTGTAGGAAGCTTTCTTTTAGAGGTTCTCTAAAATCCTTCGTTGTTCTTTTATTGCCTGTCAATTTTTCTTGCTACGTTGCTGTAGGAAGCTTTCCTTTAGAGCTTCTCTAAAATCCTTCGTTTTCTTTATTTTACTGCCTGTCAATTCTTATTGCTACGTTCCTGTAGGGAGCTTTGCTTTAGAGTTTCTCTAAAATCCTTCGTTCTCTTTATTTTACTGTATGTCAATTTTTATTGATATGTTCCTATAAGGAGCTTTCCTTTAGAGGTTCTCTAAAATCCTTCGTTCTCTTTATTTTACTGCCTGACAATTTTTATTGCTATGTTCCTATAGGGAGCTTTGCTTTAAAGTTTCCCTAAGATCCTTTTTTATCGTTATTTTACTGCCTGTCAATTTTTATTGCTATGTTCCTATAAGGAGTTTTGCTTTGAATTTCTCTAAAATCCTTCGTTCTCTTTATTTCATTGCCTGTCAATTTTTATTGTTACGTTCCTGTAGGGAGCTTTGCTTTGGAGTTTCTCTAAAATCCTTCGTTCTCTTTATTTTACTGCCTGTTAATTTTTATTGCTATGTTCCTGTAGGGAGCTTTGCTTTAAAGTTTCCCTAAGATCCTTCGTTGTTTTTACTTTAAGCCTGTAAATTATTATTGCTACGTTGCTGTAGGAAGCTTTCTTTTAGAGGTTCTCTAAAATCCTTCGTTGTTCTTTTATTGCCTGTCAATTTTATTGCTAGGTTCCTGTAGGGAGCTTTACGTTAGAGTTTCTCAAAAATCCTTCGTTCTTTTTATTTTACTGCCTGTCAATTTTTATTGATATGTTCCTATAAGGAGCTTTCCTTTAGAGTTTCTCTAAAATCCTTCGTTCTCTTTATTTTACTGCCTGATAATTTTTATTGCTATGTTCCTATAGGGAGCTTTGCTTTAAAGTTTCCCTAAGATCCTTCGTTGTTTTTACTTTAAGCCTGTAAATTATTATTGCTACGTTGCTGTAGGAAGCTTTCTTTTAGAGGTTCTCTAAAATCCTTCGTTGTTCTTTTATTGCCTGTCAATTTTTCTTGCTACGTTGCTGTAGGAAGCTTTCCTTTAGAGCTTCTCTAAAATCCTTCGTTTTCTTTATTTTACTGCCTGTCAATTCTTATTGCTACGTTCCTGTAGGGAGCTTTGCTTTAGAGTTTCTGTAAAATCCTTCGTTCTCTTTATTTTACTGCCTGCCAATTTTTCATTCTACATTCCTGTACGGAGCTTTGCTTTAGAATTTCTCTAAAATCCTTCGTTTTCTTTTTTTACTGTATGTCAATTTTTATTGCTGTGTTCCTGTAGGGAGCTTTGCTTTAAAGTTTCCCTATGATCCTCTGTTCTTTTTATTTTAAGCCTGTAAATTTTTATTGCTACGTTGCTGTAGGAAGCTTTCTTTTACAGGTTCTCTAAAATCCTTCGTTATTTTTTTATTGCCTGTCAATTTTATTGCTACGTGGCTGTAGGGTGCTTTGCTTAAGAGTTTCTCTAAAATCGTTCTTTCTCTTTATTTTACTGCCTGTCAATTTTATTGCTTTGTTCCTGTAGGGAGCTTTGCTTTAGAATTCGCCTAAGACCCTTCGTTCTCTTTATTTAACTGCCTGTCAATTTTTCATTCTACGTTGCTGTAGGGAGTTTTGCTTTAGAGTTTCTCTAAAATCCTTTTTTCTCTTTATTTTACTGCCTGTCAATTTTTTTTGTTACGTTGCTGTAGGGAGCTTTGCTTTAGAGTTTCTCTAAAATCCTTCGTTCTCTTTTTTTTACTGTATGTCAATTTTAATTGCTATGTTCCTGTAGGGAGCTTTGCTTTAGAATTTCCCTAAGACCCTTCGTTCTCTTTATTTTACTGCCTGCCAATTTTTCATGCTACGTTGCTGTACGGAGCTTTGCTTTAGAGTTTCTCTAAAATCCTTTTTTCTCCTTATTTAACTGCTTGTCAATTTTTCATTCTACGTTGCTGTAGGGAGCTTTGCTCTAGAGTTTCTCTAAAATCCTTCGTTTTCTTTTTTTAACTGTCTGTAAATTTTTATTGCTACGTTGCAATAGGAAGATTTGCTTCAGAGTTTCTCTAAATTCTTTCTCTTTAGCATCTCTTTAGCAGCCTTGATACCCTCAGATGACAAAAATACAATAGGCAGTTGACTAAAAATATATTTTTGCAGGGTATTAATCCAAAGATTTCATGATTTTATTCAATTTTTATAATGATGTCAACCTTCAGTTAAAAATATTTTTGTGTTGCACATTGACAGTTTCTTTTACCTTTAGTAAATTATGCTGTATTTTTTATTACAAATTTTTACAGTTTATTATTATCATCGTTTTTTATAAGGAGATAAATTTGCACTTTGGCAGTATCCAGGACGGCGTGCAATCTCCTTAAACCCCCAAAAGGATGAAATTTCCGCCTTTCTCTGTTCACGTAAAAAATAACCAAAACCATTGGTACCAAATAGATGTAGGAAATGCATGTTTTTTTTTCATCATAATATAGCCTTTCTGGGTGGGTTATTAAACGTTCCTAAAAATTTTCCTTTTTCTCAAGCCTGCGAGTTGCTTTTTTTTCGGTGAATAGCCCTTCCCTCTTCCATGTCCCCTTTTGTGTAATAGGAAAAGCACCCCTTAACGTGATATGTTTATCTTGAAACTCCAAATATTTATGTAATCCATTTCACTGAGGCTGCTCCCTGCTGACCACCTTCAA